GGCAAAATTGCGCGCGTTATAAATTTTAATTAAAAATGGCCATATGCCGCTGACGGCTCGGGAAGTTTGCGGAGACGCTTGTGAGGTTTGCTCGCGCTCGAGTAAATGTTCCTGATGGCGGTGGCCCCGTTGGGGCCCAGCGATCTCCCTCCATTTCCGCCACCGCCGCCACTGCTGCTGCTGCTACTGCCACTGCTGCTGTACACACACACAGCCAAGCTGCTTTGGAGGGAGCTACAACGAAAGAAACAAATGACCGATGTTTTGTGTACACACCTAGGCTGTCTGTCACGGGCCCGCGCGACACGACTTTAAAGCATTGTTAACGAGACGCAAAAACAATGGCAAATCTCAGCCACGTGACTTTGAGGTGTTACCTGTCGTAGCTTCCTCTAGTGGCGTCACATCCACTTTGGCTTCATTGATACGTGGGAGTTGATGGGAACTGATCCATGTCCCTGAACTTCTCAGAGCACAAGGGCACCAACCAGCCACAACTTGCAGGCAGAAGCATGTTGATCACAAGATTTGGATAAAAGTCATTGTGAGGTTTCACTTTGTGGTTGCTGCACTTCGTGGTGATGTGATGTGCGGCCCTGATGTGTGGTAGGGAGCCTCTGATCTGATGAAAATCTTTTTTTTGTTAACGCCAATTGCAGATTTGACACCAAATCTTGGTTTGGTATCGTACCACAGCTCGCGATAACATTTTCAGAGTGTGACCTGCCCGCTCGCATGCTACTCTCTGTCCTGTGCCTGTCCCTTATCAAGCGGAGGCAATTCCCACGGTGAATCGTGATAGAAGTCTAGTCTATCTACGGTGTAATAATCCCATTTATTTATGCTCTGTGGCTTTCTATTTCTCAACTCCCTCACTCCAACCCTGAGAAAATAACCTGCAAATGCGTCCTGCCTTTCCCATGCTCCCAGTCTGTATACTTTATAAAGTCCCAATTCTGGGTATCTGTTAATAAGAATTGCTATCTTTTTTGCCAAATATGTATGCAGGCAAAAGCAGGTGCGCAAGTGCTGCTGCGGTGGTGAGACGTTATCTCCCTTGCCTGGTACGCAGGAGGTCGTGGGTTCCATCCCGATCCTGACGCGGCGCCTGCTGTATATTTGGGAGTCCACGTGTTTTCTTGCTCTCTCCCGCCGTGGCCGCGTGGATGCGATTAAATAAGCAGCTTCGATGAGCTGTCATGTGTGGCCGTGGCCGCGTTGCCTCCTGAAAAATAGCTAATAGCTCAGTGGGATTTAGCTGGTTAAAATAAACGTGGTTTTTTTTGTAGGGGTACTGGCTTCATACCTTGTCAAGGTCGTTGTTATAATGGCCACGAGGGTGGTGCTCATCTCAATTGGCTTTTTTAAGCTCGTGGTGGAAATTCCACATTACCTTGGCAAGGACAAATGTGTCTGCTGGGAAACCATAGTTGGCTTTTCCCCCACGAGCAGTTCTACGCCGATGATAACTCATTTTAAATTATCCTGGAGGGATGATGGGCTGAGCTGGCCCTGGCTTCAGTGTTATCGATCTCATGAATGGTGACACACTGCAATCTGAGCTATATCCAGGCACCTCGGTATTGGCGTTTACTAAGGTATTGCTTAAATACAGGTGACGCTTATCTGTGTTTCTAGGGATGAGTTTCGGATTTTCAGATTTGAAAGACAACTTTGTATTTTTAAAAATATTTTCATGCGGTTCACATGATACAATAATGTAATGTATCTTTGCGCTACATTTACTGATATCACCTGACATCACTTTTAGGGGTAACATCACGGAAGTAATGGAACATGTGACGTCATATTATCGGATCGATCTAACACAAAAAACTTATATTTAGGCAAGATTTTCGAAAACCGAAAATTGAGAAAAACATCCCTCGTGTACGTTGCGATGTGGCCCAACCCAAGGCATTATGGTCCCACAGATTCCAAGTATTGCCACAATACTTTATTCAATAGCGTTCTCGTGGAAGTCGTGGCAGTGCTGATATCACGACACCTATGGGTTACAACAATCCTGGTAATGTGGTGATTGAATGCACAATCCATAAGAGATTTTTTTGGGTTAGATCACGTAAATATAAATGTGCCGTTAAACCCACCGCCTGACAAAGCCAATTAGTAAGTTTGCCACGTAAACAAAACATGCCAATTCGTTACTTGTACAGCACACTGGTGTGTTGGAGAGTAAATTGCTTTACTTTGTTGGGTGGTGGCGGGTTTAACAACACATCTATCTATATTTACGCGATCTAACCCGAAAAAGCTTCTTAAGGATAATATTGGTTGCGAAAGCGTACGTGTTTAACTGAATTCACAATACCTGCAACTTTTGCCATGCAATTGTCCCATAATCCCCCCCAAAAATGCTCTTGTGCACAGCTGGGAACTGTAATTGGCAAATCAAAAGCTCATGCAAAAATGTGAGAGTGAAGCAACAACACAACTCTCACAGAGGATCAGATGGGAGAGCGACGGGCCCTCCTGACAAGGTTGTGCTGCGTTGAAGGGGAATCCACATTATTGAGGCTGCCTTTTGTGGTGGTGAATGGTATCTGCATTAATGAAGCAAATGCCCCTTATGTGCCCAGGCGATTTAATAAGCCGAGGATACATCGCTCCAGCAAGCTGCAGCTTGCAATTAGTACTCGTGCGTGTGAGTGTGTGTGTTTTTTAATTTGAGGTTTTCAAATGCAATCGAGGCTCGTTTTACACTCTGGCTCGTGCCCTTTTTTTAATTCGAGCCAAGTCATCAGTATACCGCTCGGCCACCGAGAAAGAGTTAATAAGCTGCAATTACGGACCATTACCATAATTATCTCATAAAGGCCGTATGCCTCGCGCCGCGCCCCGGCTGCGCCTTAAAATTTCATTTGGCGGAGCTCGCCGAATATTGTCGCTCTCGCCGCGTCTCCCTCGCCGCGTCTCCCTCGCTGCGTCTCTCTCGTCGGTGTGTCCCGCAAGTCAGGGCGGTCTGCCTGTTCAAACGGGCAAAGATTGGTGGTCATGTCTACCAAAGATCCTGAGCTAGTGGTGGAAGTTGCACATTCCCCTGGCAGGGGACCATCACGGAATAAGACGATCGCTGTTAGCATCGTACACAATGTTTCGTTTTTAATTTTTCTAGTAGATGGATGGATGCATTTTTTTTTGTTTTACTCTTCCACCCTCCGAACTGCAAAAAGTGCCACTCATCTGGATAGAAAAAAAGAGATTTGTGATTTTTAAACACAAAACTTAAAATATCACATCGGTTATCCAGCAACCATTTCTCATTGGCTCCTGTTAGTCTGCCGCGCTGACGGCAGTGCCACCTGACTGCATCTCGAGAGCCACGTGCTCCATTGGCAAGATAGCAGAGAAGCGGAACTCATTCAAACTGGCACAGACTCAGGTCTGAACCCGAGTTGCTAACATGAGTGGTATGAACAGAGTCGTGTGGCAGTGGAGGAGGGGGGTTCTAGTGAACAGAGCCATTAGTGCGGTGTAAGAGGCAGGGCCTGGGTGAGATGGAGAGAGAGAGAGAGGCTTGTCTTGGTCACGATTTCAGTTCAGATAACGTCGGATCGGTTTCCATCCCGTCTGATGTACACCGATGCTTGGGGGCAAACCCAGCTCACGGGCTCAAAGGAGCAACAGTGCATGGCACTCATCGCTGCTGGTGGCTCCTTGACCAGTGGTCGAAGTTCCACGTTCGCGTGGTGGGTTGCTGGGTCTCTCTCCTGGTGGGTGAACGACTGACCGCGGGCGCGTTTTCATTCCGTGGAGATGTGCGACAGGCGAGAGTCGACTCCCGACCAGGGAATTGAACTCGCGGGCGGCCCCGCTTTACGACCGCGAGTCGGGCTTCTTGTGGAACCGCGGGACTGCCGACGCGGGCGACAAGAACTGCCGCGAGCCGCCCCCGCGCCTCTTAGGTGGCACGGGGGGCGGCGTTTTGCCGGCGGTGTCGGGGAGCGGCAGGGTTAAGGCTGCGCACCGCTCCACCCCCGGCGTGGGGGGGGAGGAGTGTCTCGGCGTGCGACGCCACGCCGTTTTGAGCGCCGCGCCTCGTAAACTTTACATGTAACCCACGGGACGCGCGTGACCTTTTCCCGTCCGTGCCCCGAGGCCCCCCCCCACCCATGCCCACCCACGCGTGCGGTTGATTATCACTGCCCACCGCGTCATGGCGCTCCCGTGTTTACTCGCACTGCTTTTTACACGTATCGGAATTTGACCCTTAATGATTTTTGACACGGTGTTATTTGGGATATGTTAGTTTTTTTTATTTAGTTTAGCTACCTTATCTTATGCGAGAACCTATTGCGGTGTGTATACATCAGCATTGGAGAGACAAGGGCGGCCAGGCGTGGTGCTGGCCGCCCATCCCTGTTCATGTGGAGTCCCGGCCTTCTGTTGCCTACTCTTCATAGGTGGAAACTGACACAAGTCGGGATATAATTGGCAAAACAAAGCGAAAAATTAAAGTCAAAACAAATGCAACAGTACAATCGCACTTACCCCAAACAGTCTGTTGAGGATCTAAGGCGAGATGTTCACTACCTTGCCTGGCATACCGGAGGCCGTGGGTTCCATCCCGACCCCGATGCCTGTATAGTTGGAGTTTGCACGTTCTCCCCGCGGTCGCGTGGATTTTTCTCCAGGTCCTCCTGTTTTTCCCCTCCATATTTTGTATCGACCATGCGTTTAGGGTATTTGGCTGCCTCAAATTTCCACGCGATAAGCCACTTCCTTGGGCTATCATTTTGTGGCCAAGTTGCTTCTGAAAAAGAGCTACATAGCTCAGTTGGCCTTAGCTGGTGACATTAAAAAACACAACAATAGTTTTTTTGTGTTTGTTGTCCTTCTGCACCTCAAATTAGCTCGGTGGGCTCCGTACGGCGCGAAAGAAATTCACACGAACATCCATTGTGCGTTTTCTCCTAAACGATCCTGACGATCCCCCCCACCGCCCTCGGTCCCTCTCCTTCCAACTCCCGCCGCCGCAGATCAACTACATCCTGGAGTCGCGGTGCAGCGCCACGCGGACCGCGTACCGTTCGGCCAAGCAGCGCAAGCTCGCGCGCAGATCGAGCTTCACCTTCAAGGACCGGCGCAGTACCGGCGAGCGGAGCAGCGGCAGTGGCGGAGCGAAGCCGTCGTAGCGGCGGGAGCGGAGGCGCGCGCCGTGGTGGCGTCGCCATCCGCCCGTCGCCGCCCGAGGTTTCCGTCTCGATTTAAAACTAAAAAAAAATTTGTACGCGTTTTTTAATTCCGTTTCCTCCCCCCCCCATCTTGTTTTGTCAAAGCGAATTGTCCACCGAATGTTGCGCAGCGGCAGTTTGGTCTGGGAGAGGTTGGGGGGGGGGGGGGCGCAGGGGTTTCTTCCCGGCAGCGAAGAAGTGTGCAGCAAATGGATCTCGAAATCGTAGCTATGTGGATACCCCGAAAAATAATTTGGGTCACGGCAAAAGTCGGGTCGGAAGTCGAAGCATTTCCCTACTCAAACGAGCATTTGGGCGGCATCAACTCCGTTCAGGCAGTGGTTGAAATTTGACAATCTCGTGGCGAGAGGTTTTGATATCCACCCACCAAGTTGCATCTGTTTGCAAGCTACACCCGACTGAGGTGAGTCTTTATACCAAAACCAGCCCAGGGTTTGTCTTGTTTAAGATGCATTGATCGAGAAGGCCTACTGGTTAGTAGTGGGCGATGCGTTCGATCGCTATAGCATTAAAAAAAAATCACTTTTGTATTTTTTTCCACCAGAGATCTTGGGTTTGATTCGTGTATTTTCTGAAAGGCCGTTTTCCACTTGATATTGACAGAAAAATCGGCCACACATTTGCCGTTCTGCCAGTGTATTTATTTGTGAATAGGGCCCCACCGTGCAATCGTCCACAAAAAGGGCCTTTTTCGTAATAGCAGCAGATTTTCCAATGTCGTATACATCCAGGATTAAGATCCCCCATATACCGTTGTGCTGTTAGCGAGTAGCACCTATGAAGGCCGACACAGCACACAATGGGGTGGGTGGCCAGCACCACGCCTGACCGCCTTTGTCTCCCCAGTGGCGATGTTTACACACCGCACCAGGTACTCATTTGAGGCCAAGCCGACCTAGGGAGGCCCAGGACTGGTTCAGATAATCGTCACCGGTGTTGGTGACTGAGCAGCAGTCGAACTCGGGTCTCCGGGTTCGTAGTGCAGCGTAGCGCCAACCGCTACACTACCGCTCCCCCACAGCACACGCTGTAACAAACGTAATGGCGTGGCAGTTAATGCCCTCTCCAAATTCACGTGAAAATTTCTGATTTGGGGTCGTAGTTTTCTATATTTTTTTATGGTCTTGTTATGCATTTAGAATCTAGTCTGGCCATCGGGTTTCACTGACGCAATTGCAACGTATGTGGATAGGAAACCGATCGATTTTCATATGCACGATTTGACGTGCGTGTCATTAGTGTAAAGGTCGATTTGAATCAATTAATTGATACAACCCTAAAATAAAAGACCATTTGAGCAGCTTTGTTTTGTAATCTGGTTCTGCTTCTCATGAACGCGGCTGGAGATTTACGCCTTTTGCAACCGGCTTGTTAGGCATGCGAATGCAGATTGTTAGGATGACAAGCGGGATTGTAGCAATTCATTGAAATCTATTTTTACACTGACCATGTTTAAAATGTGTCCCTGTAAGAATCTGTAATTTACAATGTATGCAAATTATAATCTTGTGTCACACTTAGGCTAATGGAGTGTACAAGACTGTAAAAATGAGACGATAGAACGGATGAGAGGAACCAATACAAAGGAGTGCTGAACAAGACACGCAATTATCGTCGAACTGAATTTGCGACCCCAAATTGTGACTTAGATTTTTTTGGATGGGGGTGAATAACGAGATGGCCAATGAGAGGCCTGGAAATTGAATCGTGAAATTCCCAATGAGAGGACGTGGAAATTGAGAATCCGTTTGTAATCACCAATCAAGTTGTCATGTGTTAAAGTATTATCCCCACGCTATTAATGAGTGGATGCTGATGGTAAATGTATGTTGGTGGGGGGGTGGGTTCATGTTGTTTCAAGGCTGTGAAAGTCCCAGCCAGATTCGTGTTGTTTTGTGAGCATCGGCATGGTTATGGTCCTGTTTTTGCAAAACCGATGCCGGAAACCAAGGCTCATTTAAACCCATTCGAATTGTAAATCCGAAATCTTAATTCTATTGGAATTCCACACGCGACTTATTGCAAGGAGGAAGAATGCAAGTTTTCTCAATTTGCTTCCCCTTGTGCAGAATTGGTGTGCCGAAATTAAAAATCTACAGTATATGGCATTATATAAAGACAAGAGTTACGTTTTTGTAATGCTCTATCTGTTGGAAGCTCGTGGTGGAAATTCTGCATTCCTTTGGCAGGGGAGTGTTTCATTCACTGGACAAGCACCGTCGACAATCTCACAAGGCCAGTACTCGTTTTATTGACTCTGGCGAGAATGATGATGGGCTGAGTGGACCCCTTGGCCAAGGATTTCACGTACTGTATGACCCAATCGTGAGGCACATGCTCAGCGAAAGCGCCACCTGACTTGTGCAATCAATATAATCGGTGTCCAGAACTTAATTTGGATTAATTGTGGTTCAGCGTTAAAGGAATGGTAAAGTAATACTAACACGGACAACCGAGTTAGACGAGTAATGAGCGCCTCATTGGGCCATCAATGGCTCAACAGGGACCCCCCCCCCCCCCCTGCATGGACGTTAATCATTTTGCTTTATCCATGAAACAAAATTGTCGGTACTATTTTTAAAACTACTCCACACGTTGAAGAGAGACGATGTCACCGTATTTTTTTATAAGAATCAGGTTTTTTTTATTTCTCATGCCGATTACTACGACGACTTGAGTTTTGAAAATGTCGTGCTTGATCACGGTGTGGTGGCAAGAACTGCTGCCCCTTCCTGACTCTGGGTTTTGGCAAAATCGGTCAAATCGGCAGAAAGAAAAACAGAAGTTGGGGGTGTCGCTTTCCCCGCCAAATATCGGTAGAAGCTGCCCTTTATGCCCTTACACGAATTTAAGCCCTGTGCGACAACATTTTTAAGGAACTGTTCTTCAATGGCCTTCAATTGTCGAACCAAAATAATTTACAAAAGGTTTAGCAGACGAGACTGACTTTCAGTTTAACACGTAGGCTTTCGCGACCAATGTTATTCATAATCAACGATTTTTGGGTTTAGATCGCGTTTATTTATAAATGTGTCGTAACCCTCCACCACCCGACACAGCCAATCAGTAAAAAATGTGTCACGTTGACAAAGACAAATAGTTCACTGCTTTAGCCCACCGGTGTGTTGAAGCAACAACATTCACAATTTGAGTACGACGTTTCGCTGGTAATTACAACCAGCATCATCGGGCAATTCACCATTCTGGCGAATTGCCCGATGATGCTGGTTGTAATTACCAGCGAAACGTCGTACTCAAATTGTGAATGTTGTTGCTTCAACACACCGGTGGGCTAAAGCAGTGAACTATTTGTCTTTGTCAACGTGACACATTTTTTACTGATTGGCTGTGTCGGGTGGTGGAGGGTTACGACACATTTATAAATAAACGCGATCTAAACCCAAAAATCGTTGATTATGGAGACTGACTTTATACAAAACCGGTTCATCGATAACATGCCTACTACCACCCGTTACACTGCACTGCCAGGACCTTTTGATACAAACGTGTGTATTTTATACTGAATGTGCTGCTCCTTCAGATGAGTTCAGTCTTCCACTTGTGTTCGTTCTCCATTGATTTTTTTTTATTGTTAATATTATCGAACGTCTGAATTCCACGAATTGGACCTCCGGTTTACGGGGAAAGGGGCTTGTGGCGCTAAGAGGTTTAACATTTTCACTTCACAAGCGTACGGAACGAGGAGACAAACAAAAACCCCAATCCATTGTGTGTACGCTTTTATTATTTTAGATCCAGGTGAGGCTGTCTGGGCTGCAGGAGGTCACAGTCGAAAATAATAAGGGCAGGGTTTTCCGAATCTTGTCGCCATTTGCTCGTTTTGTTTAAAGCAACAACGGTCGGCGCTCCATCTCGGCATGATGCTGTGGCCACTTTTGAGTTAAGTGATCGGTCCAAACTAAAGCCGAAAAAAAACACTGATGCTATGCCTACAAATTGTACATATAACAAAAACAAACCACAGTGTTGGGGAAGCAGTGCATTACAGTGATCACATTACCAATGGCAGGTCTTGTAATCCCGTATTAATACTCCCATTTTCATTGTCTAATCACATTACTGTTACTTAGCACGTGCACCGGTTGATTATTTTTGATTGTTAATTTTAATGTACAGGGGCGGGCGGGCGGTGATAAATGATGGTGTCGGCAGCTTGGGGTTAATGCGACGACTCCAGCTTCCCAAATATAGATTGCGTTGCAATGCCCGCGCCATATCAGAGTGCTGTCATTTCTGAGATGAAAGCAGCCCCCTTGTTGATTTTAATTAAGTAACGAAGTAATCAGAAGATTGTTATTTTGGAAACGCCAAATACGGGATTACATTGCATTACTTCTAATATCTTGGAGTAATCGTTAATTGGAGTCCCACCCCAAGCCCCTAAACACTGTATATCACGCACGCATATCCACGTGCGTTCATAAAGAACCTATATGTATATACACGCACACACAATGTAACACGACTGTGTTTTACCCAGACAAACAATCAAGAATATACGACTCTTTGGTATAAATGTGGTGGACATTAGAATAAATAGGAGAAGCCTTATTAAGATACACTACTGTCAACCATGACAATAATAGACTGTTGAAGCAGGCGCTGGGAGTGAGCACCTATTAGGGCTGGCGATGATGAATCCAAGGGTGTTGTGGTTTCGCACCGCATCCCCGTCCCCTTTGTTGTACCCCTCCCGTACTGAATTGGACACCACACACTGCACCAGCTACATGCTGTCAAGGCCAAGTTGAGCCAGGAGAGCTGAAGGCCAGGTGTCAAATACCCATGGCCACGGTGTTGTGCACCGTGGCCAGGAATTGAACCCAGGTTGGCCAGGATTGTAGTGCAGTGCACGAATCACGACACCACAGCTGCCCCCCCCCCCACACACACACAGACAAAGATCCCCCGTATAGCCTTAACAGACGTTTGGGGCCGAGTGCTGTTAGAGAGCATCTATGAAGGCCGGCACGGCGCAGGATGCGGGGCGCGGGGGCCCAACACCACACACACCTTTGTCTCCCCAGTGGCGATGTTCACACATCGCACCAGGTACTCATTTGAGGCTGAGTCGACCTAGGGGAGGCCCAGGACCGGTTCATAGAATCGTCACCGGGTGTTGGCCGTTCGTGTCGCAGCATAGCGATCCACTGCACTGCCGCTCCAGCCCCACTACCACCACGCGCGCAAACACTCACCGAAGCGCAGAGGGGGTGATTACTGTGAATATTAAAGCGCAATTGTAAGTGGATGGGGATAGCTGTTAGGGAGCACTCTGGCGTAACTACAGCCTCTCATCTGCGTGCTTCTTTCATCATTGTCCCGTCTGAGGTTGTCCTCTGTAACATACGCACCAGTCAAATGTTTCGTATCTCTTCCCCCCGCCCACCCGCCCGCCCGCATCGGTATGTCTGTCGAATGCGCCCGGCCTCCGGGTTGTGAGCAATCGGGAAGCTGTGTGTACAGTCACAGAAGAAAGACATCGGCGTTAATGTATTATAAAGACGTGTGCTGCAATTTGCCTCTCCCCCTTTTTTTGTACAAAGTATCACACAAAAGACTTTGTCTTGTCAACCGTAAACGATGTGGGGGTGGGAAAAAAAGGCAGGTGCGCTTGGCAGCTGAACATTTTTTTTGTCTCGCTAACGAGCACGTGGTGGTCAAACGCTTTGTGTTTTTGTTTGAATGAGCTTCATTCAACCTTCTTTTTAACGGTAACATGGGAAAGTCGGGGCCTGTTCACTGATGCGGGTTATGAATGCCCCCCCCACCCTCCCTTTTCATTCCCGCGTAGCATTCTAACAATGCGGGCATGATGTACACAGGCCACTTGTCAAATTGTGTTTGATATTGCTCAAACGTGCGCACACGCGCGCAATTAGCGGTTTTGTTTTTCGTGTAAAAACTAAAAGAAGCCACGTGACATTTTTAGTAAAAAATTTGTTTCGTCGGGAGTTTTGTTCACGATTTGATTGATATTTTAATATGCCAATATTTAATTTGGCAACATTTTGCGTTGTGCGATATTTCTCACACTACTGGCCTTTTGGTCAGTGGGGCAACACCACAAAACGTCAAACTCCTAGTCATGTCCAAGCGTTTCCGTGCGCAAATGAGCAAATAGAGCTTTGCCCATCTTCGTCGGTGGCCCTGACAGTTGAAAATTATGGCAGGAGCCATAGGACAACCACTGGTTGACTTCCCACAAAGCGGTACCTATTTTATTTACCCCGGCGCTGGGGGGGGGGGAGATGGGCCAAGTTTGACCCCTTTACATTGATTTAAAATGACGCGGCCTCCCGTTTGCGAGTTGATGGCTCTGGCACGGCGCTACGCAACACATTTACAAACTGCAAATTTACAACAATGAAATATTTAACAGAGAGGGAGAGTTTCATTCCTCACTCGTTGTTTGTCAAAGTCTGCGTCTTCGGGGCTGTCTTTTTTTACGTTAATGTCGCTCAACGGTAATTTTTTTAAATATATACTGTCAATGTTCTACCCACTGGCTCTCCTCGGATGTATGGGTAGATCCTTTTGGCAGGGCACTACCTCTTGTTTTGTGCTCAACCCCCCTGTAAGAGTGGAACTCGAGTCACCCCATCGGCCCGGCGATGTATCTTCTTGTTTGTCGCCCTTCTCAAACGGAAGGAGGAAAAAAAAGTCCCCCCCCCACCCTCCACCCTCTCCACATCGCGATGGCGCAGAGAAATAAAACATCGCGTCGCTTCGGTTGTTTTCTCCGGTGAGGAGGAGCTCTTTTTGTGCCCTCGATGGCACAGACACGAGCCCCCCCCCCCCCGTGGTAGCGGCGGCGTCGTCCGAAACGGGGGGGGGGGGGGCTGGGGTAGGGGGGGCCTCGCATTTCACGCGCTCGAAGGAAGGCGTCGCTCCAACCAGAATGTGCTGCATCACTTGCGTCGCATTGTTGTTATTGTAATAAAGTGAAAGTGTCTCGGATCGCAGGTTGGGGGTGGCGGGCGGGGGGGAGGGTGGAAGCCCCCTCCCCTCCTCATTTTTGTTGCTCGTCGTGTGAGATGAATGCGTGACCACCTTGGCCCTCTTCACGTGCCCTCACCTCACGACGCCCCCGTGCCCGGCACTTGAGGCCATTGTCTGGAGAAGACCGCCCCAGCGCTGTTCGAGTGTCACGGGTGACCTAATGTCTGTTCACCCGCCCAAGCGGCCCCCCCCCCCCTTCGCTTGCAAGGGCCGTCGTTCATGCGGCATGGGTGACGGAAGCCTGTTCACACGCAACGGATTTGAATGTCTACTCGTGACCACTGGACGCGTGATGGGGTCTGCGTTAGTGATGTGGAGGAAGCCTGCTCTAACTAGATTCGAAGCTTTCGTGACTGCAGGAATTACTCTTTGGTTCGTTCGGTAAAGTCACGTAGAAAGAAATAAAATAATAGAATACGACGTTTCGATTGCAACACAAGCAACCATCATCAGGTACAAATGAATTCGAACACAAACATAGTAAACTTGGAAATATAATGCAATACAACATAGTCGGCCAACACAAGTCAACACCCCACCTGGTTGATTTCGTTCTTTCAAAGATTGCTCGAATTAGCAATGATGGTTGCCTGTGTTGCAATCGAAACGGCGTATTCTATTATTATTTAATTTCTTTCTACGTGACTTTACCGAACGAACCCAAGAGTGAAGCCTGCTCCGGTTACTCAAAAGTGAAAGACGCCGCGGTGGTGAGATATTAACGCCCTCGCCTGGTATGCAGGTGTTCGTGGGTTCGTTGCTGACCCTGACGCCTGCTGCTGCTGTATATTTGGACTTGGCATGCTCTCCCCGTGGTCCCGTGGTTTTTTTCTCCGGGTCCTCCGGTTTTTACCTCCACATTTAGAAACGTGCCTTTAGAATATTTGGCTGCTATACATTTCCACGTGATAGGCCACTTCGGTGATCTATCCTTGGTGGCCAGGTCGCTTCTCAAAAATAACTGTATAGCTCTGGGCCTTACCTGGTAAAAGAAAAAAAACTTAGTTG